AGTCGTTTCGCGATTGTGATTGGGTAAAGAAATTCTCGAATGGGGCGATCTGTTCTATCATTTTTGATAATATTTTTTGTCCCCTCAACTGCACCTAAATTTGTTAGTGTATGATCGAAACATCTTCGGATCTTCTTCGGAAGTCTTTGGCAAACTTCGGAAAATGTTCGGAAGCGTTCGTCTGGACTTCAGACTAATTTTGGAGAATCTTCGGAAAACTTCGGAAAGTGGTTGGAAATCTCGGAAAATCGCCAAAAATGTCGTTATGCATCGTGAGCAATTTATATAATAAAAAGAAAATTACATGGTCGCATGGAGATACAAAATTTCTCTTCTCGAGTCGAAAGATATTTCAACACTCGAAGAGAAATTTTGTATTTCCGTGCGGCCATGTAATATCCTCTACTTATTTTATAAACACCAGTGAAATACCAGGTGACGTTTGGCGCGAAAACATATCTTCACACGTGAAAATAACATGTTACTTCACATGTGAAAATATCATCGTTGCTATGGTTACATAATAAATCGCTCCTTTCGCAGAGAATGTGAAATGGTTTGCTATCCTATTGCTGTTTACATAATAATTAGAAGATTGCATGGCCGCTTGGAGATACGAAATTTCACTTCTGGAGTTGAAAAACATTCACTCGTTGGTTGGGCCCACTCGATGAGAAATTTCGTATGTCCGCGCGGCCATGATATATCTATTTAACCGCGTGACGTCCGACTTCACTTGTGGATTGAAAATGAAGCCGTAGTTCTTTCAGGTATTAGTCCACCATATCCTTTTGATGACCGTAAATTTAAGGGAGAACACATTGGAACATTGATGGATACAATAAGATGGGTGTAATAATTTGCTGTAAGATTTCCTGATGGACATCTAAAGAATTGTTGCATAATATTCATTAACACCACAGACTTATCTTATTTTCTAGTATTCTAGTAGTACAAATGATCATAGAAGAATTTATAAAAAGGTTATTTATGTAGATGTATTACACAATAGCTGGTTTTTCTTTCTTTGAAAAGTTCCTGCTCAAATAACTTCTTTCTACTATCGATGGTTCAGCTATCATTCCAATTACAATAAAAGGACGAAATGTTTTGTTTTGCCCAGGTTCAACTTATTGACCAAGAGGTGATATTCCTCCTTGTGTTTTTGTCTATATGGTTTAGCTCAGTCAAAGTCTCGAGTTTTTTGTACTCGAACTGTACTTCATTGATATCTTAAAACTTCACAAAATTCAAATTTAATGGAAAATAAAAATTCATAGTTTAACTTCCTGTCAATGTGTAAGTGACTTATGCCTTGAGCTTTTGAAGTTTCATTATCGTATTATTGTTGTTTGTTTTATTTCTCGTACTTCGTAATTTGTGGTTCAAGCAGCATCTTTAGGGAAAAATGCAGCAAATTTATCTCAAAACCAGCTGGTAGGAAAGCAAGACGAAACCGCTAACCCAGGGTGGCATTGTCAGCATCACAGGATTTATATTGCCGCTGCGTGTGGGTCGCGGCTCGTCCATGGCTGTTTTTGTGAATACGAGCAGTTTCTCCACACGCGAGATTAATACGAAAATAGTGTAACATTATTCAGTCGTTCTATCCTTCTGTTGTTATGACTGTATTATTCCTTTATAAAGGTTGCTGCAGCTTGTTGCCTGCTACGAAATGGCGTCAATGGCGCGCGGTTTATTTTGAACCTTGAATCTATGCTAAGTTTCCCAGAGAGATTTGCTCAGACTAATTTATTTC